AGTAAAAGTGCTCGAGGAGGCTATAGTAAGGCAGGAAAAAGTGCAAAAGTGAATAATAATTAACAAGAAAATATGAATAATATCTAGCAAAATTTATTAACTGCATGATTAATTTAACAACTGGATTACTAGGAGAAAATTTTTCAAATCTTCTTGTGAATTAGTGGAGTTCGCCAGATATGAAGCTGGTAAAAACCTGGAATCGTCAAAATTGCTTCACTATTGCCGTAGTTGTATCGATAGAAGCCATGCTGCACTCTAAATTCAAAGAGAGAAGTTAGAGGTTGGGTTTTTTATGCATTTACCATTCAAATCCCGGTGCCAGAAGGATGCAATGTTGACCAAGCCAAGAAATTCCTATATAAAAAGTGAGAGTATGACATTAAAAGCAAATATTCAGACCATTTGATCTATTAACTTGAGAATAAACTTTGAAGATTCAACGTGCGCCTTCTATGACAAACCTATTCCAAATAAAGTTGGGTTAGGAAAATTATAATAATATATCAATTAATTTAATTTTACAATTACCTCTGTTAAGGTCTATTACAAAAGAGTATAATAGATCGAGCTTGAAAAAGGCTTGAGTTCATTAATCCCTATGGGAACTTCAAAATATTTGATGTTATGTATAGTCGAATTTGAGTGTAATCAATCAAGTCGATGAGTTCACAATTTCCTGGCAAGGCCGCCGCAATAAAGCAGACCTGAGATTATGAAATATGTTTGCGTGCTCGATTCCGACACAAAAAAGAAGCGATCAAATTTAAGACTATCCACAACATAATAAAAAGGTCAAGTACAAATTAAACGTTGGAAAGCAATGCACATTACTATGTAGCATAACATTAGATACTAGTAACAGTATTTCCGATATCAGAAAAAACAAAATGAACTGGACTTTTTTTCGTATATAAATATAGTTTCGATACTACCAGTAAATAAGTTATATGAGATGTATTCACCCTATTTCGTTCAAGGCGATGAAGGACTGGTAGATGATTCTTCCCGCAATAATACCAGTAGAGCTGACGTTTCTGTTGAATTTTACATAGCCTTGCTTTCTCAAAGATGTTCTCACCCAGGATGGACTGCAGATCCGACCTCGTATAAGTCTTATAAACATTCCTAGGGGGTAATCGAGCCATGACAGTGCGACGTGTAAGCTCGACACGTTAACCACTACACCACATTGCCACGAGTGCATTTTGGTCATACATTTCATCAACTGGAGCTTACCTAACTTTTGACGGAATTTTTTTCAATTTCCAGCACACTCGTTGAAAAACTATTGGAGAAAAAGATAATCTCCACATTAGGTTCCCTTAATTTTGGCAGGGCAGTAATGTAAAACTTACTAGAGAAAAGAATTTCCATTTACCGTGAATTTTGGAGATTAGTTTTTCCAATTCCGACCGAGCGAGTGGCAAAAATGCTATCTGGTAGTAAACGAAAATACCAAAGGCATAGATAGCTTGCCATAAAAAAACAGCTATCAATCAAGAAAGTTTTTGAGAAAATCAGGATGAAATATGTAGAGGGAAAAAATATTTTAAGAACAATAAATTATAAAGATTTTAGTAAACTTTCATAACTTGATCTTTAAAGTTGAATAATGTAATCGCCACTAAATCAATATATAATAAGGCATAACAAGAACGCACAAATGTGTAAAAACCAATGAAAGAGCAACTTGAAAAGAATAGATATGGAGATGATTGTCTGAAACTCAATCTGTGCAGAAACATTCATCTTCATTTAGAGGTTAAATAAGTTAGAACGGATTGCAATTTCAATTTGGATTTGAGCATAATGAATATGCTCACTTTTTGAGGCCCAAAAGAAGAGGAATTAACAAAAATTAACCAACTTCCAATTGGTAATCATTTTTTTATTTTTGCAGTCAGCTTTATCACACAGCTTCCAATGGCAAGAACGCCTGCTAAATGTCTGACATCATGGCTAAACATGAAATATCGTATGAGTCTGAGAAGGCAGCAATGTTTTTGTTTACAATAAGAGGGCTTGACGGAATCTGCCAAGCATAAAAGTATTGAGAGATATATCACTATTATTTAACGTTCTTTAGTAGTTGCAAGCCATATCAGAGGTCTATGTCTGATATGGAGCGATTCATTTAAGATTTGAATCTAAGTCAGCCGAGTGCAGAAAAGCTGTACGTAGCCCCAGGCAAGAATGTGGGTATAGATAGCCAGTCAAGTATCCAAAATGACCTAAAACAGTATTATACGTTTTGTAATTTGGTCCTATTTTAAATCATTAGATTGATGCCATCATAATACAAAAAGAATATAGTGTTTAGCCCTAAATGTCTATAAGAGTAATGATTATGCATAAAGTAAAACAAAAAGTTATTTGACGTTATTCCAAACTAAACTTTAGACGTTGGTATGGGTATCTATCATATCGTTATATTCATCATGCCAGTTATTCGAAGGATAAACGAATAACGGGTCTTATTCCTGAAATTTATCTCGCATTGAAACAAAGAAGATGCCCATTAGAATGATAAGAGTTGAGCTAAAGATAGAACTCAACTCAACCCATATGACTATTGTAAACGTAGCGGAGCAAGAGTAGAAATGTTTTCATTACTTATAAGAGTAATTGGGATCACGCGACTAACGTTATCTGCAGAGTGATTTTGGATATGAATAAGTATAGAAAGCATGCTATCCTATGACATAGTCATATCTTTTTGGAATAATAACATTAAGGCACAACTTACTGCATATTGACGCGATGCTAAATTAACATTCATGAGATGGCTAATAATTTTAAGCGCAGGTAGGAGTAAGCCAAATTATCCATTAATAAAAAAACTCACCCTCATATTTCGAAAGCGGATCCAAGCAGCTTGCATTTCCGACGGATGAGTAAAGCCTATGACAAAGGAGTAGGCCCTGAACGCCAATTCCGATATTTTTTTCCACCGATTGGGTGTTGATTTCCGAGTAGATAGCATTGCTGGACGAATTTTCATTAGAGGAAATCCGCATCAGGTAAAGGCTTAACCTCTGGCCATGCAACTGATGAGAAGTCGAGTTTTCTTGCATAAAAGTCGGGCTGAACGTACATTGCTCAAGGAATCTGGGCCAGCAATAAGGGATACTCTGGATAGTAGCCCTAAAACCATGATGGAAATCTTGTTGAATATCAGAGTAAATCCTGGCAACTCATTAACTGAATGCTATATATAGTTATGAAACATAGCCTGTAGATGAATGTTACAAATGATGGAGACTCCACTTCCGGTATTGTTAGATGCGCACTCAGATTAGCCCATCACTGCGTAGTCCAACAGAGCCAAAGTTGATTGCTCGTGGCCTCAGCAGCATCAGTGGAAATCGCTAATATGCCCGAATCTTGTGGTCACAAAAATGGTTTCACTTCTACATAATTTGATCGGGCAAACATTGTCCTTCTAATTTTTAGCCAATATTATTTACTGCATCTGCTCAAGTTGGTCAAGAGGGCTTATCTATCCCAAGTTCAAATGAGAATATACACCTCAGCATGTCGAACGTTGCAAACTCTCCTATCTAGCTTTATCTACAAATTATAACCTTACTTTGTTTGATACAAATACATTCCAAGCACATTTTTCGTAAGCTACTTAATTCCTGCAACCAAATACTTAGTCCTTACATTAGTCTTCGTGCAGGATCCTTTCAAATTTTTGCATAAATTTGTCCCATATTTGATATATCACGAACCCTGCACTTAGCTTAACTGCCCTGTCAATCGCCCAATAGTTTTAATTTGGCTATGAATTCTGATCAACTCCATTGTCATTTATGATATGTTCGGTTAAATAAGGAGGAAAGTGGGCAATATAAACTAATTCGACGCATATTATCGTGAGAAAAATGCAGCTTAGTCGTTAAATTACTTTAAAAGACACAGAGCGAATATCACTTTGATAATTTATAGCTCTGTGCCAAGGTTAGCGCCACTCTCTGACAATGCTAGCGAAGCGTCTGAGAATGTACCAAGTCAACGGTTAGATGCTAGAAATTGTCATGAATACATACTATAGTAGAGGGCGCAGAACTAAATACGATACACAAGGTCGCTGTCAGTTCAATCAAGTTGCGAAAATGAGGTCAAGCCAACAATATAGTGATAAAGTTCTAGTTTTATATAAATTAAGCCAACTTATGCTATGCTATCCTAGCCGAGCTTTATGCACGAGCTTTATATTAGTGGCGCTTCTAAACACACACAAAACATGAAAATTGGCAGTTTGCACTTACAGTGGCATTCGCCTAATATTTAACTTAAGCATTGATTCTGACTACAAAAATAGATATATTAACATGAAAAAGGGGAAGGTATGAAGACCAAGGGGGTGTGGTCTTTTGTGTTTTCGAAGTCTCCTTTCATAGTATATATAAGTAGTTTGACCTTATTTTCGCAACTTGGTCATATTGGTAGGAAGACTTAGAGGAAATAACCTTACCTGAAATGAATGAAAAAATTGCGAACTTTACTAAGGGAATGGTATATCAAGGTAATAAAAAGGAGAAGATAACACTTTTCACCAGTCTGCCGGCGCGACGCAAGAAGACTGACAAACTTGATTACTCGGGAGTTTATCGCATCAAGTGCGGCAACTGTGAGAAGTATATCGGTCAAACGGGAAGAAAAATCGCCCTACAACTCAAGGACCATCAAAGACTCTGTAAGAACTTGGATACGGAAAGATCCGAAATAGCGGAACACATTGCACGAACGAGACAAGAAATCTACTGGAAATCGACAGAAAAGCTGGCTGCAAATGGTGAAAATACGAGAAAACGCAAGATCCGAGAGGCCATCGATATACTGACTGAGAGAAATCTAATGAAGAAAGCGGAATCAGAAAAAACTTTGTATATTGCCTAAACAAACTCGGATAAGACCAGGCAACAGTAAGATCAGAAAAAAGAAGACGACTGGATCAAGGTAGCACATTTAGTACACGTGTGGTCAAAGGATCGGCTTCACTTGTCTCTTTGACGAGTTATTGTGTGGTGCTAAGAATGGCGGGACTCATTGACGATGCCAACTAGGATGTCAGCAAAACGTCTGGGAACGTACCACGTCCACGGTCCGAGTTTGGAAATGATCATGCATGCAATAAACTCCGGACTAGGTGCGTTCCTCTAAGTCTTTCTACCAATATGACCAAGTTACGAAAACAAGGTCAAAAAACCTCTATACAAAGAAAAGAGACTGCAACCACACAAAAGGCCAAACCATCTTGGTCTTCATACCTTAGAGTAACATATTTAATTATTATGAAAGTACATCGCAATAGGACTAGAAAGGAACAATCAGAAGCCAAGAGGAGACGTCTTCAGTGAGCCTAATGAAAGCAAGTGGAACCACAGCATTTGAGGGTTGGCAAAAAAGATACTAGGACATAGGAAGTGATAGATTTGGTATTAGGGATAGAAACAGGATAGACGCTGTGGAGACTAGAGCTATTTGGATAACAATAGACGTGTTTGATCATAGTCGTGGTCCATGAAGCACTTCTATTGTTAGCTAACTGGTTCTAGCATCCACTGAGTTTGTAATATCAAATTTATGACTTCTTATGCCCTAGTCTCTTGTGTGCCAACCCACAAATGTTATGGTACTGCTTGCTTTGATTAGGTTTAAGATTTAGCCACAACGTTTGTTGGTTGGCATACAAGAGACTAGGGTACATGAAGTCATAGACTTGGTATTTGGAATAGAAACAAGATTGACGCGAAAGCGACTAGAATTAGCTGAAAGTAGGCCTCTTTTACCATAGACATGGTCCATGAAGCAAAGACTTGAACATGAGAATTACTAAGGGGCTTTACATCAAGTTAGTCTCCCAGACACAGAGTGTGGGAAATAACGCGTCGAGTAGCACAGATGGGGTGGCAGGGGTCGAGTGAAAAATTTGAACTAGGTAGATAGCAGACGGATCCTACGGGAGACTCTGATAAGACCTATGAAGGAGGAATGAGTAACAATAGGAAAGACTAATCGAAAGTATAAGACCAAGATGGTGTGGCCTTTTTTGTGGTCGCAGTCTCCTTCCGTTGTATATCAGTTGTTTAACTTGTTTTCGCAACTTGGTCATGTTGGTAGGAAGACTAATAGGAACCCTTCTTGTCCTGGGTCCATTGCATGCATAAATATTTCCAAAGTCGGACCGTGAACGCGGTACATTCCCAGACGTTTCGCCGGAATAGTCAGTGAGTTTTACCATTTGTAGCACCATATTACAACTCGTCAAAGAGACAAGTGAAGCCGATCCTTTG